TTTGGGATCACTTGGGAAGGGAAGTAGAAGCAGGGGCAGTCATGGGGAGGGGGCTGCCCTCCTTGTGGATCTTGGCATCAGGCCCTAGGCTGTATCCAGAAGGATCTAGAGGAGGTGTTGACAACATATGCTGACTTCTTTCTCTTCCTCAGGGTGCCTTGCTGTTTCAGTTAGCTCAGCTTACCTGCCTCATCAATAGATACTGTAATTTTAGCAAGGTATTTCACAAAATCTTAAAAACATGGAATCAAGTCTACTATTAACCATTGCTTTGCTACTGCACCCTAAGGACTATGGGACTATTCTATTTCTCTTGAAATGGAAACTTTGCATTTATATTGTTTCCCTCACCTAGATGGTGAGCTTCTGGGCAGCTAGGTGGCACAGTGGCTACAGCACCAGCCCTTGAGTCAAGAGGACCTGAGTTCAAATCCTGCCTCAGACATTTGACACTTAACTAGCTGCCTAGCCCAAAATGAAAAAAAGAATAAGAATGTGAGCTCCCTAAGAGTAAATACCAGCTTGCTTTATCACTTATAGTCCCTATGCTTAGCAAAGTGCTTTGTATATAATGAGGATTTAATATAATATTTCATTTATTCATTCATTCAATTTGCTTCATGATTTTGGGCAAGCCTTAACTTTTTTTTTTTTGCTAGGCAATGGGGTTAAGTGACTTGCCCAGGGTCACACAGCTAGTAAGTGTTATGTGTCTGAGGCTAGATTTCAACTCAGGTCCTCCTGAATCCAGGGCTGGTACTGTATCCACTACACCACCTGGCTGCCCCCAGTCCTTAACCTTTTGGGGATCAACTTTCTTTACCTATAAAATGATGATGATTTCTAAGGTCTTTTCCACCTCTAACACTGGATGACTCTATATCAGAGTCTTCTTAAGTTCTTAAGAATCTTCTAAGTTGGGGCAGCTAGGTGTCTCAATGGATAGAGCACTTCTATATAAGAACTTCTAAGTTCTTAAGATTTTATGGATCAGACATCTAGAAATGAAGGGACCTCAAAGGCCATTTAACCCTGCTTAATCCTGCTTTAACCCTTCTTAATCTTTTTCTCTGTGTGTGTGTGTGTGTGTGTGTGTGTGTGTGTGTGTGATGGGTCCCTTAGCCAATCTAGTGAGACCTATGGACCCTTTCTCAGAATAGTGGTTTTAAATAATGGAAAGAAATGCTAAATTTCAGTTAGAGGTTTGTGAAAATAAACATGTCATTTTTTTTGCCCATCCAAGTTCATGGACTCCAGGTTAAAAACTGCTCTATGTATCCTTGGAGACAAAATGGAGAAATAAGGCCTGGTTAACAGTAAATGTACATGAATTTAGAGTTGATTTAAAAAGTATAACTGAAGAATGTTGATCAATGTATTGATTTTACCCCAGAGGGAGTTCTATAGTGGCATGTCACAAGGTCCTGTCTTTGTCCAGTATTGTTCAACATTTTTATCAATGATATAAAAACATAGAAAATATATTCTTATCAAATTTTCAGATGATTTAAAGCTATACGGCATAGCTAATCCACTGGACCAGAGAATCAAGATTCCAAATTGTCTCAGCAAGATGGACTTGTAGACAGAAATTAACATCTAGGTTTTTAAAAAGTCAGTTATGTAAGTAGAAGATGAGAGATTTGCTTGACAGTAGTTCAAGCAAAAAAACCCCGAGGGTTTTAAACTGTCTATAAATTCACCATTAGCCAGCATGGAGATGTGGCTTTCAAAAGAATATATCTTTAGTTTGATTTACTGAAAGTATTTCAGGAGGAGGCAGCTAGTTGGCACAGTGGATAGAGGACCCACCCTGAAGTCAGGTGGACCTGAGTTCAAATGAAGCTTCTGAAACTAGTTGTGTGACCCTGGGTAAGTCACTTAACCCTGATTGCCTCCAAAAGAAAAAAAGTAAAACAAAAATAAATTAAGGGGGGGGGGAGAAAGTATTGGGTCCAGATTAAGGGGGCAGTCCCAATGTACTATGAATGAGCTGGTCAGACCAAGCCTGTAGTTTCATTTCACACCTAGATACATTTTATGGTAGACATTAACAAAAGATAGAGCATCCAGCAGGTGACCAGGATGATGAGAGATACAGAAACTTTGTCATGTGTTCACGGATTGAGGAAAATGGAGATGTTTAGCTTGAGGCAGAAAAGATTTGGGTGGATAGGATACAAACCTTCAAAGATTTCAAGGGTTGTTGTATGGAAGTTAGAATGGACTAATTTTCTCCAAAAAGGAAGAACTAGAGACTAATGTGTAGGGGTTACGGGGAGACAGATTTCAGTTTAACAAAAGACCTCTGAATAATTAGAATTGTCCAGAAATAAAAAACCTGTTTGTAGTAGTAATTAGTAAGCTTCCTGTTACAGGAAGTATTCAAGCAGCAGCTAGATGCCCATGATAATAGCTGTGAGCATTAAGGTTTGAAAAGCACTTTACATATGTGTGTGTGTGTGTGTGTGTGTATACACACATATGCATATGTAGAAGTATGTGTATACATACACTCACATGCACACATACATACATACACACACACACACTCTTTTAATCTCCATGACCACTCCAAGAGGTAGGTACTATTATTATCCTTATTTTACTGATAAAGAAACCAAGGCTTTTAGAGAATTAGTGCCTTGCCCAGGGCCACATGGCTATTATGGATCTGAGGGAAGGTTTAAACTTGGGTCTTCCAGACTCTAAATCCTATACTCTATCTACACTGCTTTCCTGTTTCTGAGGGAGGGTGGATTAGATGTCCTCTAAGTTCTTAAGATTCTATGGATCAAACATGTGGAACTGAAAGGGACCTCAAAGGCCATTTAGTTTAACCCAGCTATTTTGCAGATGGGGAAATTGACTTGGTAATAAGAGTTACTTATTCGAGGTCACATAGGTAATAAAAGTCAGTGTTAACACTTGAATCCAGGTCCTATGACTTTGAGGCAGCTAGGTGGAGCCATAGTAGATAAAGCACCAGCACTGGAGTCAGGAGCCTCCAGACATTTACTAAGCTATGTGACCCTGGGTAACTTACTTAACCCTGTTTGCCTCAGTTTCCTCATCTGTAAAATGAGCTGGAGAAGGAAACACCAAAGCATTCCAATATCTCTGCCAAGAAACCCCCAAATGGGGTCAGGAAGAGTCAGACTAAAAATGTTTAAACAAATAACAAACAACCTGGGACTTCAGAGCCAGTGAGGTCTCATTCCACTCATTCCACTAATGGGAGTCCTGGAAATTGTCTTCATTAGCAGAAAACTCTAACCAAATGGGCTATTCAGCTTCTGACAATAGAGAAGTGCTTTCCTTTTAAAATGTCAGTCACTTTCAAAGTCAGTAAGGATATGGTTAGACCTGACAATGTCCAGGGTAGAGGGTAGGGAACATTTGGACTCAAGTCCAGTTCTGTAGTTTCGAGAGATGGAGGCCTTTAGTCTGGAAGAGGAGACCCAAAGGCCAGCGAGAAAGAAACAAATCCCATGCAGGCATTCCGTGTCTCCTCAGTCACTACCCCCACACGCAGTCTGCCCAATTACTTGCTGAAGAGGATCTAACTATATGATACCCACACAGCTTTGCATTTCTTATAATCTTCGGGAGGCCACCATCCCCCACCCCCCACCAATGGCACTGCTGGAGATAAAAAGAAACAGCAGATCTGTGATCCAAGCTCAAACCCTCTTCCTGGGCCTCAGGACGATCTCTTCCTCTAATTCAATCAGTAAAGCTGTTGCTATGTGCAGAATATAAATAAATAATAATTCCCTTCCCTGGAGGTGTCTCCCAATCCCACGTTCACAGATGGCCAGACTCCATAATCACTCACTTCTACATGCTTCCCCATCACAACACACACACACATTCTCATGTACACTCACATTTATGCATTCATACCAAAGACACACGCACACGTATACAGACACACGCAGACCTTTCGGCTTCAGAACCAACGCCATAGAATGTCCTGAGCTCCCACGGTGCTGTAACCTGGCTCTCTTTTGTTAACGCACTGAGGGGTCAGCTCTACTCCCTTTCCTTCCTCCCCAATTTTCTTCCTCTCCAAGAACTAAGAGCCACCTTAAAGTCAATCCTCCAATATCCGAATTTCCCTTCCCCCCTCAAGCATGGAGGGCAATCTCGTCCTATACTCCTCCATCCCCACGCTGCGTTCCTGGTAGGCAGATGACAGCTTCCAGCTGTTACGATAGAGAAACTCCCTTGGCATCCTCCACGTCCCCAGCCTAGGTGATGGAGGGAGAAGATAGAGGAGGAGGGAGGAGCGCTGCCTCGGCTCTTTAGCTTTCCCTGGTCCTTCTAGGGGCGAGCCTGCCACCTGTGCCCAAGCATCCCTCCGTTTCCCCTTCCTCTCCTCCACGGACCCAGGGGCACCCACGGGACCAGGCATTTCTGCGCTGGCTCTAGCTTTGAGGAAGATGCTCTTCGTGGGCCCCACTCCAGCCCAACATCCTCCCCTCTCAGTCGCCTTCCCCCCGCCCCCTGGAGAAGTGTGCACGGCTGAACCCGGGACTAGAAGACCCACGCAGGAGGGCTGGCTGCGCCCGGACTCGAGCATCCGACGGAGCCCAGGGGAGGGCGAGCAGCGAGCGCGCAAGCTTGCAGGCGTCCTGTTGTACCGGGGCGGGGAGCTGGCAGCCGACGGCTGGAATCGGAGGAAGGTGGTAGCGGCGAGAGTGGGGGCCACAGCTGGGATGAAACGGGATGGCCAGGGTGGGAGAGCAGAGCGAGCCCCGGGCCCACAGCTGGCTGGCACAGGTTGCCAGCCTCTGCCCCCGCCCCTGCACCCCCCGCCTTCAGCCTCGGCTCCTAGAGCCTCTGCCCAGACACGCACCGACACCCCTTCTAGAGGAAGCGAATGGTCCCTTCCAGTCGGGTGGCCATGTTGCTCTAATAAAGCGGGAGGGGCGGCGGCGTGGGGGGAGTAGAAGCTTCTGAATGTGAGCGGGAGCTGGACCCAGAGCTGGAGCCGCCGAGTGCAGAGAGCCCGGAGCCGGGGCGCCGAGCGTCGCGAGGAGAGCCCGGGAGCCAGTGGGCGAGGGCAGCCGCAGCCCAGAACGCTGCCGCGGCGATGGCCGTGGCCGTGGGGAGACCCAACGTGAGTGCCGCGCCCCTGCTCGCGCCCCCCGTCCCCATCCCCATCCCCCATCCGAGCCCCCCGCTTTTAGACCTGATGGAGGAGGAGGAAGAGGAGGAGGAGGAGGAGAAGAGTGGTTGTTTCAGAGCTGGAGGAATTGGAGCTTAGCTGTGTGTGTGTGTGTGTGTGTGTGTGTGTGTGTGTGTGTGTGTGTGTGTTGAGAGAGAGAGAGAGAGAGAGAGAGAGAGAGAGAGAGAGAGAGATGAATTTAGCCTGGTGTCAAGTGTGGAGGTGCGTGTAAAGGATCCTGATGGCTTAACTAGCATGCTATGCAACAGTGTCTAGGTTCCAGAGCTCCCCTTTCACGTGTGTGTGTGTGTGTGTGTGTAGGTGTAGGATGAAGGGGCAGAGACGATCTTTGGTGAGACTATTTTTTTTTTGCAGTGGTTCTGCTCCCTTCTTCCCCCCCACCCCCTTGTGACAATCTGAAGAAAACCTCGATGGTGTGTGTGTTTCTCCTCTTTTCCCCTATCCTGACCCCCCCAACACACACACACACACACACACCCCTTCCCTTCACGTTGAGAGAGATCTCACTGTCGGGAATGTTACACCCGGGAAAGGCTTTCCTATCGTGGAAGAAAAATACATGTGTTTATTTAAATACGTTTGTGACTGAGAAGAATCCGGACGTGGCTTTCGCCTGCGGGCTGCGAGATCGATACGGCCGACCCGACCCCACCACACTCTGCTGTGGCTGGGCCGGACCCGGAAAGCCCCAGCCTCCCAGCCACTTCCCGCCCCCGCTCCCCTCCCCTCCCGAAAGTTTGAAAATGATCCCTTCACCGCCTGGGTGCTAGCTTTTCTGTGCTTGGCGGATTACATTTGGGGGCGGGAGAGGGTGGGTGTGGGACAGGGGAGGAAGTGGAAGGGAGGGGAAGAGAAGAGAGAGAGGGAGGGAGGCTTCCCGGTAGGTTGTGCTCGCGAATAGCCAGATACCCTGTTAGCTCGCTGGTGGCCTGGAGGCTCCGGCCGGTATCCGCCCCTGGAGGGGTCGGTGGGTTTTCCCAGCCTGGCCTGGAAGGCTTGCATTCCGCGGCTCGTGGGTTGGAGAGAATTCCTTTTGGCGAGGCATCCTCCGTGTAAATGACTCATTAGTGCCCAGGACAATGCTGAGCTATTTTTAAGGGTGAGGTTCTCTCATTCCCTGGGAGCCCAGTTCTTGGACTCTGTTGAGACTGCATTTTCTTTTTTATGGGAGGAAATAGGAAGGGGAAGGGGGAGTTCTTGTCTTTTCATTCAATTCAACAGACATCATTAAGTGCCCTGTGTATGGAAGGCGCTGAGCTAGGCTTCCTTTCTTTGATCGAATTCAGCGGTTGTGGAGCTGGCACAGATGTTGAGGGAAAGATGGGGCCAACTTGGCCTAGTATCCTTCCATCCTCCTCCTGCTCCCTCTTCTTATTTCCAACCGTAGGGTTAGACTCACGTTATATTCTGGAGGCCCAAGCTTTGAGTAGCGAGCAAGTGCTTCGGTAAGAGAGGAAGATGATAGCTCTTCCTCACCGATTTCTAGACACACAAGACTGCCTTCGCAGAAGAAACAGAAACAAGACTGTCCAGATGGTTGTGATTCGGTTGAGGGTGGAGGGAGGGCTTGGAAGCCATACTGTCTTTAGCGCAGGTCCATGCTGTCAAAATTGTGTGGTTACTAGTTAAGTGAAACTTTAGACCCATACATTGGGTTAAATCCCTCCCTTCAAATTCATCAGCCATCCTCATCTAGTTTTCTCAGCTGTAAAATGGGGGTAGTAATAGCACCTACCTCCCAGGGTTGCTTTGAAGATCAAATGAGATAATAATTTGTAAAGCAGAAAGCACTTGATAATTGTTAACTATCATTATTGTTATAATCCTTAGTAATTCAGGTAATCATCGTTTTGACTTGTTAGCAGTTTTAATGGTAATACCTACCTTTCTGCCTACCTTCTCTTTAATTCCTACCTTTCTCCTTCCCCCTCTCCCCACCTTATTTCCTGAACACAAAATACATTGGTTAAACTAAATCTGCTTCTTATTTAGAAGAAAGTAATGAATAGAAATAGGTTTATTTGTTTATGAGTCTTTTTGTGGTTAATACAATTATTATTTAGATCCTACCCCCATGTGGAAAACTGGAGCAGGGGGAGTGGGAAGAATTTCTAGATTACTCATTTTCTTAAAAAAAATATCAGTTTCATTGGAACTGTGTGCAAAACCCAAGTTCTAGGGATGTGGCCAATTACAATATGAACATCCTGTCTGCCATCCAGATGTGAGTTCCATAGTGGTTTTTTTTCCTTTTTTATAGTAGCCTTGTTTTTCTAAGTCACTGGAATAGTTGGAGTATTTAAAGGTTTTGCATTATGGGACTGAAACTAGCTGCAAAGTCTGAGTTATCTCTTTGAAGTAAAATTACTCCAAGTATAATCAAAATACTTGATTATACTAGAAGAGCCTAGGTGTTCAATGATTCCTTCAATGTAGTAAAGTGTAACATAACTAGGTTCACCTTTGGAGTGATCCTGGGTTACTGTTTATAGTGTGAAATGTGTTCTTATGAGTGTGATATCATCAGAATGCAAGTGCCCCAATTACAGGGAACGCTAATTATCCTGAATCTTAAGCATTATCCATCCCTGAGTCTACATTATCTTGGGTGGGGATGGTATAATGGAATGGAGGAAATTCTTAGGCAAAAAAATGAGTTTTCATTAAACTTTGTTTACATTTGATAATAGTTTTCAGAATGTTGCTCTTTAAAATTTTACTCTTGGTTAGGTTAGATCAAAAGAACAATTCAGAAAAACACTATACCCCCTCAAAAGTCTGAATGAAGAAAAATTAATTCTAGTTGATTTATCAAAAAAGTTCAGATTTAAGAAATGTATCTTCTTGTTTGATATCCCACGCAAATAAAACATTTTGCTTACTGCTCAAAAATTGCTATGAGTGGTTAGAGACAGCAACAATAACTAAAAACTTCACAGTATTAAATTATAATTTATTCCTTTATTGCTGAGAAGCAAACACCAGGAAGACCACATATTCTGACCCTATTCTCCAGGCCAGATTTTTTCCTTCCATATGGCAGTTTCTAGACAAAAAGAAAGAAAGGAAGGAAGGAAGAGGATTGTGGCATAGCTGGTTCATTGATTGACATGATTGGTTTGTTGATTTCTACCATCTGTGTGTTCTAGTTTTGATTCATTGAATTCCTACAGTGTATAAGATCTGTGCTTGTTAGTATGGAGGGTACAAATAAAAATATGGGGTGGGGTGGGGAGGCAGCTAAGTAGCACAGTAAATAGAGCTCAGGAGAACCTGAGTTCAAATGTGATGTCAGACACTTACCAGGTGTGTGACCCTACGCAAATCACTTAACTTCAATTGCCTCAAAAAAAAAATTGGTCCTAGCTCTTATAAAGCTTAGTTAGTCCAGTGATTGCCAAGTGTCTGATTGTTTCTACCAAATTACCAAATTGTGATTATGCCCCAGCTGATTTGGTTGTACTTGCAATTCGTGGTGAAAAAAAAAAACCTCGGTTCGAATCCTGACTCTGCTCCTTACTACTAACCTTAAATCTTTGATCTTTTATTGAGTGAGACTGATGTTCTTCTGAAATCTTTCCCTCCTTAGGCCTCAAGCCTGTTTTTACATACTTACTTTGCATTATTATGTCCTATTGGTACATCTGTCATATTTCACTGCTATCTCACCCCACCCCAACTAGATGTAAGCTCTAGGAGGGAAGGGATGATGATTTAGAATGGAGCATACTTTAAAACTTTTTTTTTGACAGGATAACAGGTTGAGGTCAGGGAAATGTGGTAGACATTATAGAATTGCTTAGATTTTAGCAAGCCATCTGACAGAGATCTCATGATTTCTTAGTGGCTAAGATGGAATTGCAGGAGAACTGGTTGAGTGACTGGACCCATAGAGTAGTCATTAATGAACTGATGTCAGCCTGAGAAAAAATGGAGTGCCCCCAGGGATCCACACTTGGCCTTATTCTGCTCAATTATTATATCACTGTCTTTAATGAAGGCACAGATGACCGGTTTATCAAATTTACAGGTGACATAAAGCTGAGGAGGATAGCTAGCAAATTAGACAATGGAACTGGGATCCAGAAAGATCCTAACAGGCTAGAACTACGGGTCAGATCTAATAAGATAGCATTTAATGTACAAGTAATGAGGATAATTTTTTTTAAATCAACTTTGCAAGTCAAGAATATGGAAGGCTTAAAAGACCTGGGGAACAATGGCTGCTGTTAGAACCAAAGAAAACAACACAATTTCAATTTAAAGTAAGAAGACCTTGGGATTTTAGTGGAGAGGTGTATGCTTTTAATGCTTGGCTCTTCCCCCAGTACGTAGTGCAGTGACTTGCATTTGGTCCCCTAAAAAACATTTGCTGAATTGACATGAGTTGAATTGATTAGCAAGAGCTACCCTTGGATCGTAGATCAAGAATTGGGGGGCACTTGAGAGGCCTTCTAGGCCAAAGCTTTCATTTTCTGAGGCTAAGGCAGTAACTTGTCCAAGGTCGTGCAAGTAAGTAGTAGCAGAGGTCTGATTTGAACTCGGGTCCTCCAGAGCTAGTGCTCCTTTGGGACTTAGAATTTTAGAGGCAGCTGGTCATGAAGTTAAGAAGATCTGAATTCAATTTAGGCTTATTAGCGATGTGACCCCAGTCAAGTCACTTAACTTCTGTTTGTTTCCTCAGCTGTAAAATGGGAATGGTAATAGCACTTATCTCCCAGGGCTGTTGTGGGTATTAAATGAAATATTTTTGTAAAAACACTTAGCACAGTGCCTGGCACATGGCAGGACCTATATAAATGCTTATTCTTTTCCTTCCTTCCCATTTATTGCTCCTGGGGTGTGTGTGTGTGTGTTCAGTTATGCATGGCTCTTTGTGACCACATTTGGGAATTTATTGAGAGAGATACTGGAGTGGTTTTCCATTTCCT